ACGCTTGACTAGCTATCGCTGTTACCTTCTTTCCAACACAAACGCACCGGGCCGGCCGAAGTCCCGGCTCGGGGCCGCCCTACAGCCCGGCCCGGCCCGCCCACGCGAGCTCTGGCTGCGAAAGCTCCGGGCAGCCCGGCTGCGGCGGCAGCGGAGGGGTTAATCTCCCGGCCGGCAGGCGGGAGGGAGGGAGGGAGAATCATTGACTGAACTCCGGGCCCGCGGCGAGGCGAGGCGGCTCCTGTCACTGGGTAACCGGGTCCCCTCCCCAGGCCGGCGAGGGAGCGCCGCGAGCAGGGTGCGCCCCGCACCATGGAGAGAGCCTGAGCCCGCGGCTGCCGGATCGGGGCCGCCCCTCCGCGCCATGGCCGAGTTCCCAGCCAAAGTCCGCACCCAGACCAGCACCCCGGCCGGGGCGCACGGCCCGCTGCCCGCGCTGCGCTCCCTCGCCCTGGACCTCGGCTTCCTCCGCTCCTGCCTCGGGCTGCTCATGATCGTGGAGCTGGTGAGTACGAGCTCCCGGCAGGGGCAGGGGGGGCTGGCACGGGGGCTGCTCCCCCAGGAGGGAGAAGGGGGGGTTCAGCTCTGAGCCCCCCGCGCCAGACACAGGTAAGAGGCACCTGGTGTGTGTGGGGCCAAACCCCACCTCCTTCCCTCCAACCCTTTGTGCAAACGCCCTGAGCCGCCCCCCTTCCAGCCCGACGTGTTGTGCGGGGAGCCGGGGCTGTAAACCGATCCCAGTCACCTGTGCCTGGGAGTCTCTGGCTCCCCGCCGGACGAGACACCGCGCACACGGGCGCCTGGCCCACGCGTCTCTCTCAGCCCCCTGCCCGCTTGTCTGGTCACTTTCACCGCCTCCTCTCCCTTTGCCAGCAGCCTGGGTTTCGATGGTGAAATTCACCAGAGAGCCTCTGTGCCTCCCCGGGGTAGGAGCAGGAGCAGAGTGGCTGCTGGCAGAGACAGGCTCCGAGCCAACCACCCTTGTGTCACTTTACCCAGATTCCCCTTTTCTGGCGAGAATTCTTGACATGCTAAAAATTGGGCCATTGCTGGCCTAATTTCAAAGCAAAGTTTGAACAAACGCCTAGAGGTGAGGGCACCAATCCTGAGCACTTTTACAGCGCTCCATGATTGCATTAGGGGAATGAGCAAAGTCAGTGGCCCCAACCACAACCAGTTACACCCCAGCAAGCTAAATGCACAGGCTGGGCCATTGAACTGTTGTTTGTTTGTTTTTTAAATAGGTAATAGCTAGTTCGAGGGCAGGGTCATAGGGACATTTTTAAAGCCTGACAGAATTAGATGTATGGTTTGACATGTAATGAGGGGAGAAAAGTCTATATGAGTATTAATGGCTTGATTCTCCCCTCATGGTGTGAATCCGGAGTCAGTCCAGTGAGGTCAGTGGCACTGCCCTGTAGTGAAATCAAAGTGAGAACAGCTGAATGCCATAGAAAAATGGTGGGCCTGATGCTGATCTAATCTGTGCTTGTTTAGACTAATGTGACTCCACTGACTTCAGCAAGTTACTGCTGGTTTACACCAGGGCAAGTGAAAACAGAACCAAGATTCCCCTGCTCCAGGCTGGAGTTGCAACAGTGTAACAGAGGAAAACTTGGGCCCAGCACATTAGCATTGTGTTACATAGTGATCCACTGTGCTATGAACTGGTTATTTTCATGCACTGCATTCTGATTGTAAAGTATGAAAGGTTGTTTAGTCAATCAAGTCACTTGATTAACCAAAATTAACCACACATGGCGGGTGGCAAAGCAGTGGAACAGGTACCCTAGTAACACATTCTGAGACCTTTGCCCTTTGGAATGGACGAGGGGTTAAGGGTAACGGCACCTCCATCCAGACTTTCAACTGTCTCGTGCTTTAAACACATTTCAGTGCTCAGAGTCCCTTCGTGGGGAGAGCTGTAGCCGGAATATGGTGGTAGCTGGAGAACCTTGAAACAGAGAATTGCTCCGGTTGGCTTCCCATGGAAAATAGACACTGGAGTCTTTATAAAGTACGAGCCACTGTGACCAAATTAGAGACAAACAAGAAGGACCCTTTTTTTAAAGTGTACAGTCTCATAATATGACAAGACAAAAGAGCTTGTTTGCTCCCTACATCATCACCCAATCACACGGACATTTTGTACTGAAAGATCAGCAGCCAGAAGAAAAGCATATCATGAGGAATAAAAGGTAAAGCTTTAAAGAGATTTCATGCTGATAATATTCACCTCCTATAGTAATGAAGATCACTCTAAACGGCATAAGAAACTCCTTTAAACAGATACTAAATTACACTCAGCCCCTTGACAATCTGACATGGAGTTAGATCAAGAAACACCTTTGGAAGATCTTTGTGAGAGGAAGTCTGAGCTTCTCTTAATTTGAACGAGGGCTGTAATGTTTAGAGATCACATCACCCCCCCCCCCATTCATTCTAATACCTCTGCCAGTGCCCCTTCCTCCCAGTCTTTCTACCCACTCAGATATGTGAATCGGTTCCCTTTCCTAGGATCTGGGAGCCTAGGACTCTTTAAATGCCAGGGGAAATTGTCAGGATAAAAACCCATCCATTAAAATGATTCCTTGGCCCTGTGACCACCTCAGATGATTTTCTTATTACTTGCTCATCCACAGGATCTATTCCACCATGCACCCCCCAGCCCCAAATGTAACTAGATTAGTTACATTTACGTCCCAGTTCCCTGGCACTAGTAGATGTGGCTGGTTTTTATTTGACTAAGCTGGACCCTAGACCATTCAGGGCTTGGAAGATCAAAACCAGCACCTTGCTCGGCCCCCAGGTAGCCAGTGTGGAATGTTGAGTGGAGTATCAGTGTAACGAAGTATCCACCTATACCTTCAACAGCAACGTCTGAATGCTCTTCAAAGGTAACACCAAATAGAGGGCGTGGCAATACTCCAGTGAGGAGGGGTAGAGGCCAGGACCGCTGTGACAAGATCATTCCTTGCCCGTGCCTGGGAGTGTCTGAGCAATGACGGACTGAGTCAGTGCCTTGGCTGTGTGCTGTATCGGAAAAGGGAAGGCAATAGACTTCCAATAGCGGGTGCAGGCTCAGCCTGCCCACGTTCCCCGCAGTGCTTGCCCCTGCCAATCAGCATCACTTCTATCCTGAGTTGATTGAGCTGCAGCCACTTTGCTCTCATCCTCACCCTGGGGAAAACAGAGCCTGCAGTGCTGCGATTTCGTGAAAAGGGATCCCCCACTCCCTGCCCTCCCAGGGGCTGTACATACACATGGAACGGGACTGGGGACAGAGTGGAGTGACAGAGAGGACAGTGCAAGCCCTTTGTAAGGCCATTGCTCTCAGACCATGCTGGTGCCAGAGGGGAGGCAACAAAAAGTCATGGTCCAGGGCATTGCAGGTGCTGATAGACCTGAGATACCAAGCCTGGACTCCTTACCTGTACCCATAGCTAGGAGATCCTCTCACAGTCAGCCATAGTCATACCGTCTGTGCCATATCCCCATAAGAACGGCCATCCTGGGTCAGGCCAAAGGTCCATTTAGCCCAGTATCCTGTCTTCCGACAGTGGCCAATGCCAGGTGCCCCAGAGGGAATGAACAGAACAGGTAATCATCAAGTGATCCATCCCCTGTCGCCCACTCCCAGCTTCTGGCAAACCGAGGCTAGGGACACCATCCCTGCCCAGCCTGGCTAATAGCCATTGACGGACCTATCCTCCAGGAACTTACCTAGTTCTTTTTTTAACCCTCTTATGGTCTTGGCCTTCACAACATCCTGTGGCAAACAATTCCACTGTGCATTGTGTGAAGAAATACTTCCTTTTGTTTGTTTTAAACCTGCTGCCTATCAATTTCATTTGACAACCCCTAGTTCTTATGTTATGAGGAGTAAATAACACTTCCTGATTTACTTTCTCCACACCAGCCATGATTTTATAGACCTCTATCCTCTCCCCCATTAGTTATCTCTTTTCCAAGCTGAAAAGTCCCAGTCTTATTAATCTCTCCTCATACGGAAGCCATTCATAAGAACATAAGAATAGCCGTACTGGGTCAGACCAAAGGTCCATCTAGCCCAGTATCCTGTTTACTGACAGTGGCCAATGCCAGGTGCCCCAGAGGGAGTGAACCTAACAGGTAATGATCAAGTGATCTCTCTTCTGCCGTCCATCTCCACCCTCTGACAAACAGAGGCTAGGGACACCATTCCTTACCCATCCTGGCTAATAGCCATACCCCTAAGCATTTTTGTTGCCCTTTTCTGAACCTTTTCCAATTCCAATATAACTTTTTTGAGTTGAGGTGACCACACCTGCATGCAGTATTCAAGATGTGGGTGTACCATGGATTTATATAGAGGCAATATGATATTTTTTATCTTATCTATCCCTTTCCTAATGATTCCCAACATGCTGTTTGCTTTTTTGATTGCCTTTGCACATTGAGTGGATGTTTTCAGAGAACTATCCACAATACTTTCTTGAGTGATACCAACCAAACCAGATTGTGAGGAGGTCGGGTATACAGAGCGAACTGGAGCGGCCCTGCTTTCTCAGGAACTTGTCAAACAGGAAGATTCCAAAGTGCTTTGCAGGCCCCAGACAAGAACTATTTACTCACCAACAAAATGCAATCACCTCTGCAGTGGAATGTGGCAGCTGTGTAATAGTGTGCAGTAATTCTACACAATAGTTGAGGACAGGAAGTAAAGAAGCAGTAGTTATCCAATTGATAGAAGAAGGGCAATTTTAAGTAGGCAAAATGAAATTAGGTAAACTGGAAGTTGGCGAGGACTTTAATCAAATCTAGGTGTTTGTCATTAGCCCCATTATAGTAACAAAAATGCCACGAGATCTTTAATCCGCACAAGCGGTCAGGGCCTCAGTCTTCTATCTCATTCACAAAACAGCGCCTTCAGCAACACACAACCCTTCACACCAGTTAGGGGCATTGCTCCAGTGCTGCGTTAGAGGGGAAGAGATTTGCCTCCCTATTAACACCTCTCCCTAGTTTGCTTGTCAGCCTCCTATCAAACCACTCACCCAGCCCCATGCTGCTTAGTTTATGATCCCAGCCCAAAGTGGAGGAGTGACCGGTGTAAGACACAAGCCCTTTAGCCAAGGAAAACATTCAAGGGAGGCCCAACCAAAGCCAGAACTGAGATACACAGATTGTATGAAGCACCAACACCCCGAGCAGCATGTGATTAAGAAACAAAGGCCAGATCCTGCCCCAGTGAAGTCAGCGGGAGCATGACTGGGCCATAAGGACCACGAGGCTTAAATTCAGGAGTATTTTATTTGATTGTATCCATGGGGGATTTGTTCTGCTCTCCCCTGATCTCAAAGTGAAGCTTGGTCAAAAGGTTTGAACATTGGTCTGCTAAACCCAGGGTTGTGAGTTCAACCCTTGAGGGGGCCACTTAGGGATCTGGGCCAAAAAAATCTGTCTGGGGATTGGTCCTGCTCTGAGCAGGGGGTTGGACTAGATGACCTCCTGAGGTCCCTTCCA